TTGATATATTGGTTGCTTATTCCACTAATAAAACCGTCAGCGGTCGAGTGCGTTTCCCCGCCAAATAAAACAAATGTTTAACACGTAAAGTCAGTATAGCGCCCTCTTGAAGTGAAATTTACCGTCTGTATAGGGAAATATTTTTTTAAATTTTTTTAATAACTGGAATCAAAGTTAAAATGACCTTCAGTTAGACCAGGAACGAAACGTTGTCAGATTTTGTAATGTGACACTGTTACCTGATAGTTATAAGACAGTGAAGTTACTATATTACGTTATAATGGTACAACATTACGTGATGAAGCTATATTGATACATGATGGAAGTATATCATTACACTGTAATGGTACATTAGTATGTCATGAAGATATACTCATACGTGATAATGGTATATTAATACGTGATAAAGCTTCACTAATACATGTATAGTGTACACCATTACGTATTATAGAACGGACAACTACGCTTGCCACATGTTCTCTTTGTAATGTCGGTTGTTCTGTGGCTGCTCTCTTACTCACCACACCTATTAATATTGTTTTTAAAATTTTGAATTTCTCACGATTGGAAAACTTTTACCATCAATCAACACAGTGCTTGACTAGACAACGTCGACCATATCAATTGTCGAATATTAATCTTAACTATGGACCCATCTGTGTAAATATTAGGTTACAGTAGGATTCACAGTCACGATGAAAACAATTCAGTTTAATGGCACCCATACCAAAATGTGGTCATTAAAATATGTCTCAAATTGGTCAGAAACATTTATGTCCCCGTTTCTATGGAAAGCAACATTTCTGTGCATAATTGCATGAAGTCTCACAATATTTGATTTTGTGAGATTTTGAGTCGACCATGTTGGATTTTTAGGTAAATATGATGTGGCATCATTTGCACACATTCTGCCACTACACTGTAATTTATTATACTGAAGTCATCTGGGGCTTGATTTAAACTGTCCAATAACTGTAGCTTATTAAATCAAGTTCCAGATTACTTAAGGCATTGGTTGCTGACAGTTTAGTGTAATGAATGTTAATTAGTAGCAGAATTTTACAAATTCTTAACTCCACTGTGCCAATGCAACCACATCGTATTTACCTAAAATCGATTCAAGATCTCACAAAATCTCGTGAAATTGTGCAATCGGAGTGCGAAGATATTACGAGTCATGTTGGGACATGTTTGAGACTAGTCTGTGAATTCTCAATATCCAATTTTGTTGTTTGAATACAGTTTTATGCACAGCAAGGAAATCTGAAAAAATCTGGGACGTTTTCAAGACTAGTCTGAAACATGTCTGCACCAAACAAACCAGTCTGGAACCAGTTTTGAAATAATGATCATAATAGAAAATGTGTAAATCATGTTACCGTATTAGTGTTTCCAAAGCTAACGGGCTGATCTTACGTCTCGCTTTTGTTTGAAATTCAAAAAAAGAAATAGTTATAATGTCATTAATTAAGGCAATTGGAAAAAAACAACATAATAGAAGTACAGTATACATTACAAATATACAGGATAAATTATATTACAATTCATTGATGCAGAAATTGTAATAACATACACATGACGGTAATTACAAAATGAAAATGCTTACAGCAATAGCAAAATTCTGCATTTACAAAATGATTTAAATAGTATTTAATCCAGTCATTCACATTGTTTTAAAGCGGAAGGGTCGTCACCTGCGCACGCGCGGAAATATCAACACACGCTAAAAACGCAAAGGCCCATGGGTAGACGCTTGTTTGTAAACAAT